CTACCCTGTATTTCATGCATCAAATTTGATGCCATGTGTCACAAGTCAACAGTTTCCATCTACACGGTCCATGATCCCTCCAGACATGGATGGGAGGTACGACATTGACGGCATCGTAGGTGAAGATGTGTTTAGAACAGGAGGTAGAGGTCGTCCGCAGAAACAATATAAGGTCCGATTTGCTTATCAGGAGCCAGAGGACGACCGCTGGTTTACTAGAACAGAACTTCTAGAAACAGCTCCCGGCATAGTTAGAGCCTATGAGAGAGATAAGAAGGGAAAAGTTCCTGCCTTGGATCGAGTTATTCTCGGAGGACCTCGAATTTAGGCCAGCGGGAGTGAAACGGTATTCACCTGTTTGCAGTAGCCGATGCGGATCCCAGGGCTCGATCTGTAGACCCCGAGAGTTGAACCCGTGACCTGTGTATTTGTAACAGTTGGTAGACTGTCGTAGGGTCCTTAGGTAGCAGGGGTTTGATCTGTAGACGTGTCGAGAAGAAGTCTTAGGCAGTTCTAGAAGTCGGCTGTAGAGCTTCCGAAGAGTCAAGGTCGTAGCCGCTACAGTCCTGAAAGGTCAAGGTCGGCTACAATAGCGAAAGGCCAAGTCCACGGCCTTCCGGAAGGTCCTAGCAGTGGCCTTTCGAAGTTGCTCACATTTAGGCTGAGGCAAGTGGGCAAGTGGTGGAGTCTACCCGTGCTGAGTCAGCAGTCCCAGTCCCAGCCAGTCCTAGTCCAGTCAAGCAAGTGCCGCATGGGATTGTGTACACTACGGGCATGGGAAAGGGCCAGACCAACGAACTACAGAAGTATAAATCAAAGGGCAGCGCCCAGCCATTCATTTCATTCCTGCGTAAGCCATGCGGAAGCGCTGCCACAACGACTTGTGTGAGGTGGTCTGCAGTGAGCCCGAAGACGAAGTGGGCGAGAAGGAGCTTAGCCATAGCGATAGAGTAGCAGCGGCCATAGCCGCCATAGCTGATAGGAGAGAGTAGCGTGTATGTGTGTATAGAGTGTCGTGTGTGGGATATCCAGGGTGATCCGGTGTGTGCGAACAGAGAGTTGTATGGGCGCTGTGTCGCCATAGCCATTTGAAGTGAACTTGCATCTGAACTGCGTTCTTGGTTATCATATCTCTGAGTTCTGAGTGGGCGCTTGTCGCCAGCTTGCTGCGCAACATGTTTGCATGCATGTGAAGTGTGAAAGATAGCAAGTCTGATTGCAATTACGATTAATGACAGAGCCAGAATTGAATGTCTGACTTCTCTCCCATACTGCCAGTGACATAAAAGGCCCTCCTTGCCCCTCCTATGGTTTTCATTTGAAGAAGTAAGTAAAGCGCACCGTGTTTGAATTCTGTGGGGGAGGCGCTTTGAGCTGGGTAAACGGGCTTAAAGACGCCGTATCTTCACTCAAAGACTAAGAGGCAACCGTCAGCCAAGCTCACACCTCCTTCCCCCTCTTTGCAGGTCATCCAGCTATGGCGGCTCATCCACTCCTAGCCTGGATTTTCGAAGGACAACGAAAAGTACTTATGCCTCCTCCCACTTGCAATGACTTGCTGGTTCCAGGTTGCCTGTAGCCTCACTCTGACGAGGCTGTACCATGGTTAGGGACAGATTCGTAATTTTGTTTGGTTGAGGACTAACCGAGAGACCTGCCTGTATGGAAAATTTGTGAGGGATATATCTGTAAATATAGAAATATGGGCCCAGTACTAACTCGATTTTCCTACAGCTACCCTAATTTCTAATAGCAGACCCGGGCTACCCCTAGGACAGACAGGCCCTATGGGCCTACGTTGATAGACGGTCCTATAGCCTATAGCCGACTAGGGAGAGGCCCTAGAGGTCGAAACAGAAACGGTACCGGTCGGTCAGTCAGTCCGGTCTAGGTCGGTCTAGGCTAGTTGTAGAATATAGATAGGATGGGGACATCGGTCCTGGGCTTTTTGCAGTTGACACTTCGTGGTGGAAGTTGCTGCGCACACGGTATTAGGTCATGGTTGCTGATTCCCGTGGTGGTGACGGCGGACATAGCCAGACCTTTGGAGCGCTGACCAGACTGGGGTCAACGCTGTCCGCTCTGACTCTCTGGGAGTCAAAGCGGTCTGGGCTATCAGAGGTCTGATGCGTTGGAGCACGTGGTGCACTGCTGACCCTCCTCAGGAGTAGGGTCCCAGTGGCGATGCAGCCATAGCTGCATCTTCTCAGAGGATATCATCGTCTGGACTTCATCTTCATCAGGGACTGTTGGCGCTGAGCTTCTTCTTCCTCATCTGGGTGGCGATTGGCTCTGGGAGCCTGTTTCACTTTGGGGAAGGCCATGGAGTTGGATGTCAGGGTGGCGCTGGGTGTTACCTGGGGTTTCGGTGCTATTTTTAGCTGTTCCGGGTGGTGGGGTTGAGGCGCCACCCCTCTGAGGGTAGGGCAACAGGGATCTGAGGATATTCAGGGAAAACGATGCTCTGAGTTTAATAAACAGTTTTTAAACAGTTATAATACTGTGTTTGAGTTGTCATCTCTTCATTGATTTCTGGCTGTGATCACTCGGTTGTCTTCTATGAATGATTGTTGGGACTTCTGTGGAGAGAATTCACTGAACTGTGTATTCTGTCACTTCGCTTCTCTGAGTCTTCCGCGGCGTTTTCTTTTCTGAGCGGTGTGACTCTCCACTACCTCTCCCCTTCCTTCTGTGCATGTATGGGCGTGTATGGGAGTTCCTGTGAGTGAGTGTTGATAAAATTTCAACAGACAATCATGTTCATAACACACTACTCCCGCCAAGCCTACTTTCCCATATGCAGTCCTCCAACTGCCAGTACCCCTTCCTGGCGCCTTCTAGGTGCAGTGCCGACCAAGATGATGAAGATGGTGGTCCGCCATTGCCAGGGTAAGTTTTCTCCTTCACTCCCTTCCTCCTTCTGCCTGCCTCTACTTCACCTCCATAGCCTTGCCCTTTTCCTGCCTTACCCTGCCTCAAACACCATAGCCAGGGTGGGCAGCAGCCCTACTTGGCGCTTCACCTGCCAAGCTCCCTGACCAGCAGCATTGCTGCCATGCACCCAGGAAAAGAGAAGAAGCAACTCACTGCCCCTCAAGATATGCCTTGGCCACTGCCTCCCTGGCCAGTGGCTTTCTGAGCTACTCGGCCTCTAATCCCTACTAGTTTCTAACTTTCTACCCATTTTGGCAGGAAAATCATTGCGGGCTGATGTCCTACCTACATGGCATGGACATCGGCTCTTTTCAGACTTTATTCAGGCTGGTACCTTCTGCACTTCTCCTCTAGGCCTGCCAAAAGTACTACCTTCTTTGTCATATCCTACCTACAAGGAATGGACCTCGGCTCTTTTCAGACTTTATTCAAGCTGGTACCTTCTGCACTTCTCTTCTAGGCCTGCCAAAAGTACAACCTTCTTTGTCATTTTCTGTCTACGTACCCCGTACTACCTTATTTTTCCTGCCTTGGGCCTATGGGACATACTGGGCAGCCACACGGGCCTGCAGGGCCCGACCAGCGTTTTCAGCCTAAAAGCCTGAAAACAAGGGCCTACAGGACCTGTGTCGTTTTCAGCCTAAAAGCCTGAAAACAAAGGCCTACAGGCCATGTGTCGTTTTCAGCCTGAAAGCCTGAAAACGAGGGCCTACAGGCCCTATGTCGTTTCGGCCTAAAACAGGGCCCTCCAGGCCCTAAGTCTTTTCAGCCTGAAACGGAGGGCCATTTTCAGGCCCTCATAAGATCGACCTGCCCTGAAACTTAGGCACCAGACCAGGGTTTTAGCACAGGCCATTTTTGGCCTGTTTTTAAGACAACCCTCGTTTGAGCTTCAACGCCAGGGTCTGGCACGTTTTGGCATTGGCAAGAGCAGCCTCCTGGACGGGCCAGCACTATATAAGACTGGCCCGCCCTACAGGCTGCAGACAGTCATGAGGTAGTTCATAGGAACTTCCCAGGCACTTCACATGCAGGAGGCAGGAGAGTAGTAGTGGAGAGAGAGAGATGGTTGGCGGAGGCCAGGAAGACTTACCCGTGGCGCCATAGCTCCAGCGTCATCTTCGATGTACCTGCAACAAGGCGCCACCTTCACAGGTTAGTACCGGAGAGAGAGAGAGAGAGAGAGAGAGAGAGAGAGAGAGANAGAGAGAGAGAGAGAGAGAGAGAGAGTTCTTCTTCTTTCTCGCTACCTGACTTCTCAGTATCTGCAGACTACGAGAGAGAGAGAGAGAGATTGGTGACTTTGGGACTTGACGACATTTGGGTCCAGACTCGACATTGGGATTCAGACATTGGATGAGGGATTATTTGGGACCTGTACCGAAGACTTGGTGTTGACGACATTCCCATCTTCCCCTCTTCTTCGTCTAACCCCCCTCTTCTTTGTCTGTGTATGGTTGGGGACTGGCGCATTCTTCCTGTGTGAGCGCCAGGCCCCTTCACACCATGGAATGATGACGATGAATGTCTGGTCTGCATGGCAACATTGATTGTTCGGATGATTGGTATTTACGCCTTCTGCTGTGCTATCTTGTACTATGTGAGAGAGGTCAGTTCTTGTTCTGGTCTGTACCATTACGGTATGCGACAGCCTACCTACCCCTAGCCTACTGCAGTCTACTAGTGCTGCACTTGCTGCACAGGCCAGCAACACAGCAACAGGGGTTAGTGCCAGGCCCAAGAGGGCCAAACCAACACACAGTCCATCATTCCCGGTCACACGCATACTCAAGTACTCAGACAGACGGACAGACACATGGAGCACAAATATCAGCAATCGGTACATCAGGAACAGACTCGGACGACAGGTATCCCAGCAGACAGAACAACGACAAAAACTCAGAAAAACACAGGATTCACAGTCGGCAATTTTGTGGGTTATTGCAGTATATTGTTTTGGTGCTCATAATGATCCTCGGGAGAAACTCCTCTTGTTTGTCACTTTACCAGTCAACACACTTCGCATGTTGTTTGTCAATGTCCCTGTTTGGCATCCTGTTTGGCAGGTATGCAAGATTTGGTGAGATATCAACAAAAGTTGATGTTTATGCTTTTGGTGTGGTTCTTCTGGAGCTTGTTTCTGGAAAGGAAGCGATTGTACAGAGGGATGCTACGGGGATGAATGGAACTATCATATCTTTGGTAAGGAATTATGGAACCTCTGAGACCACCATTGACGTCCTTGTTCCTTATGGACTTTCATCCATAGTGACCATTTGCTCAAACCATGCCTCATTGATTCATTTATCTGAAGAGAATAAGTGGGATTAATTGTACACTGTTTGACCAACTGCAAGGTATCCAGGTGATTGACACAGGGTGCACAATCATCGCCTCTTCCGTCCTGCAGATTGGGCGTGCCAACTTGTTTTATGTGGTCTGCTAATGTGAATGGTATTTGGTGTTCCATAATCAGCACAGCATCGGCATTTAAATTCCCATATGCCCATTGTCGTGAAGGGCTCTGGTCCTGCATGGTGTTCTGCATGTTAGTGGGATGGGTATGTGCTTTCGGCAGTCAGTTTGCGTGTTCGCAACCCGTCTGTGTGTGAGGGTGTGCTTTGGGTAGGTCTTGCTTTTTCACATAATGTTGAAAATAGAATGGTGAACATAGCAAGGCCAGCATCCTAGCTCAGTTACTAGAGCACGTAAGTGGCATTCAGGAGGTCGTGGGATCGATTCCCCACGCCGTCCAGTCGGTTTGCCACACCCTCCTGCAGCACACTGGGGGATCATCAGCAGAGATAAGTGGTTGCCCCCCCCTGGGGTATTTGCAGAGCTTCTGTCATCTTGCCAGGGGTTAGGAGCCTAGGTACTGCTCCCCACATAGAGTCAAGTTGGAGATTCAACTTTGAGGGGATAGGCTCAACCGGGAAAGACTCCACCATGAGGGCATAGGCAGGCTGGGATAGATCGGGTAGGAAAGTGTCCCATAGACCCATAACCCTAAGCCTGAGGTAGCTTCTCCTTCAATATAAGCAGGTGGGTAGGGGCATAGGTAGGCTGGGATAGATCGGGTAGGAAAGCGTCCCATAGACCCATAACCCTAAGCCTGAGGTAGCTTCTCCTTCAATGTAAGCAGGTGGTAGAATGGACAGGTTGTGGTGGTTAAAATAATGAGAGAACAATGAGTGTAGTAAACATGTGGCTGTCCCCCCATATGACTCCAGGCAAAGACTCTCTCTCTCTCTCTCTCTCTCTCTCTCTCTCTCTCTCTCTCTCTCTGTGTGTGTGTGTGTGTGTGTGTGTGTGTGTGTGTGAGTAACAGGTTAGGTGCAGAGAGGCCTTGCAAGGGAAGAAGAGGCTTGACTCTGATGCACATGAACTCAAAAGCATGGAGAACCTCAGAGTGAGAGACACTCTCTCTCTCTCTCTCTCTCTCTCTCTCTCTCTCTCTCTCTCTCTCTCTCTCTCTCTCTCTCTCTCTCTCTCTCTCTCT